AGGTAAAAGAAATAAAAGAGGATTGAAGGAGGTAAAAGAAATAAAAGAGGATTGAAGGAGGTAAAAGAAATAAAAGAGGACTGAAGGAGGTAAAAGAAATAAAAGAGGATAAATCAGTATAAACAAACTAAACCAGAACAAGTGGAATGAGAAGAATAGTACAAATAAAACAGAGGGAGGAGTGTTGAGCATTAAACTCAACATAGAATGAAAGACAGCGATGGTGTGATCGCGTCAAATCACAGAACTAAAGTCACGTGTGAATTACAAGTGTCACAGGCCGAGTGAAGTACAAAAACCCGCATGTAGTAAAGTACAAGTACCTCGACCGCGCAGCAAAGTACACACACACACGGAGTGCAGCGGTCGTGTACTTGTTGTGTGTCGGTGTAAACACGTGCGGACTCACGCGACAGTCGCTCCCGCCGCTCGGATCACTGTTGACAGTCGCAGCCGCCTCACGGCGCCTCGGACTCGGCTGCGGCGGTGACAGTGCCCGTTCGCTAGCTCCCGGCTAACAGGGGCTAGCTGCGTCACTGTGGATTGTCGTGTTTGTTTGAATTCAAATTAAATGGAGGTCGATTGGACGGAACCGCGCGGACCGGGCGGAGGTAAACACGGGAGAATGCGGGACTTCTCCTGGAGAGACACCGTTACCCCCCTCTGGAGGCCTGTGCGGGAACACACACGCACATTAGCTAGGGGGGAGGAGGAGGAGGGGGGGAACTCCCGCATCGTGCAACTCTTTATCGGACTCGAGAATCGAACCCACCGCGGACACTCTGGTGCAAAACGTTAAAGTGTGAGTTTAAAGTGGAGCTGGATCTACTCACCGGAGCCTCTGTGTGCGTGTCGTCCGGTTGTCGCCGCTCATCAACTGCTGCTCTCCGTCACTGGCAACGCAAACTCCCGCGGGATTCTGCGGGACCGCGCCGGGGCTAAGCCGCCGGAAGTGCGCAGGTTGCCGGATTTGCGACCGTGTGCGGTGAAACTGGAGTTCGCTCCGGCCGCCATGTTGGAGACAGAGTCCGGCAGCGGCGTGACTCAGGCCCTTGTTCGGGGATTAACCCGATTCACTGGGTCTGTCCCTGCTCAGCACTTTATTCTGAGGACTCTGATCCAGACACGCAGATATTAACAAGCTGAATTT